CTACCAGTACATGGGGTTGGTTGTACTGATACTGCACTTCTGCACGTCCCATGCAGATTTTGGAGCGGAGTTGCTGGAATGTCGGGTGCTGATTCAGAAGATGTTCGTGTGTTTGGATATAGCTGCCACTTGTCCTTGGTAGTTTAGATTATTGCTAATCTATTTATATAATCTTCAAACAGAACGTGTATTTATTTGTATCAGTTTTGAAGTTCCAAATCTTAAAAGCTCGTGATTCGTACTACCTAGTATTGGTAAATTTTTAAATGTTCAGTTATCTATTTTCTATCATCTTATAATCTCAGTTGGGTGGTAGTTTTTGTTAGTTGGCTTACCTAGCGGTTTGAGTTAGGTGCCATCACGACTTGTGATTTATGGGTTGTGACAATAATACTCCCCCTTCGATGTTCATTAAAAGATAATGTGCCTCGTTAAAAAGAGTACGCATATTTAGTAATACACATTGCTAGTTACCTCATTAAAAACTTTATAAGAAAAATCCTTTGGAAAAACCTTAGTAAGGAAAAAAGAGTACATCGCGTATTTTACTCCTCCTAATGAATACCTTGTTTCAAATATTTGAGACTCTTCCAATCTTGTACACCATTTTCTCAAAAGTTGAAATTGACAAAGATTTAGTGAATAAATCTACCGAATTGTCACTTGAACAGATTTGTTGCACATCAATGTCACCATTTTTTAAAGATCGTGTGTGTAGAATAATTTTGGTGAAATATGCTCCGTCTATCTCCTTTTATATATCCTCCCTTCAATTGGGCTATGCATGCAACATTATCTTCATATAAAATTGTGGGTCTTTTCTCACATTCTAAACCACATTTTTCTTGAATAAAATAAATTGTTGATCTCAACCATACGCATTCCCTACCTGCTTCATGAATAGCTATTATCTCAACATGATTTGAAGAAGTAGCTAATAAATTGTAAACACGTATCCAGTTTGAGATCGAATTTTATGGGGATCAGATAAATAACCTGCATATGCATAATCAACAAGATCTGCACTATCTTTGTTAGCATAAAATAAACTCATATCAAAAGTTCCCTTTAAATATCGCAATATATGATTAATCTCGTTCAAATGTCTTAGTGTAGGAGAAGAGCTATATATTGCTAGTAAATTAACATAAAATGTTATGCCAGGCCTTGTAGCATTAGCAAGATACATAAGTGCACCAATTGCACTTGGATAGGGTATTTTGGAATCAAGGAGTTGCTCATCCTCTTCCGGAAGTCGGAACAGATCCTTATTTACTTTAAGTGATCGAACAACCATTGGTGTACTTAATGGGTGTGCTTTGTCCATATAAAAATATTTTAAGACCCTTTCTATATAAGCAAATTGATGGATAAAGATTTCGTTTGCTAAATGTTCAATTTGCAACCAATACAAAGTTTTGTCTTTCCAAGATCTTTCGTCTCAAATTCTTTCTTAGAATATTCAATTATCTTTTGGAGCTCTTCTGGAGTTCCAACAAGATTTATGTCATCAACATAAACAACAAGTATAATAAATTCTAAAGCTATTTCTTTATAAAAATACATGAACAAATAACATTATTTATGTAAACCTAGTTCAACAAATATTCACTGAGACGATTGTACCATATGCGCCCATATTGCTTTAAACCGTACAAAGATCTTTGCAATCTGATTGAGTACATTTTCCTAGATTTTGAATATGCTTCAGATATTTTAAATCCTTCGGGGATTTTCATGTAAATTTCATTATCAAGTGACCCATACAGATAAGTTGTAACTGCATCCATCAGATGTATTTCAAGCATTTCATGTAAGGCTAAACTAATGAGATATCGAAATGTTATGACATCCATAACGGGTGAATATGTTTCTTCATAATCGACTCTAGATCATTGTGAGAATCCTTGTGCGCCAAGGCGAGTCTTGTATCTTTCAACTTCATTTTTATTATTCATTTTTCGTACAAAAACCCATTTATGACCAACTAGTTTTATATCAGCGGGTGTTTGGACTACTGGTCCAAAGACCTCTCCTTTAGCAAGTGACTTCAATTCCGATTGAATTGCCCCTTGCCATTTTGGCCAATAAGATATATGTCAATATTCTTCGACAGATCGGAGTTCAAGATTCTTGCTATTTTGCATAATGATAAGTGCAACACTATGTGCAAAAATATTATCCACCGCTGTTTCAGATCGATTTAAATTAATCCTATCATTAGTAGAACTTATTAAAAGTTCCTCACTCACCTGAGTCTCGGGTTCATTGTTTTCTTCAGGAATCTCAGAACTAATAAGATCTTAGGTCTCTTTAGGAGATCCCTTCGTAGTATCATTTTGATCATTTGTCAATTTTCTTTTTCTAGGTTTTCTATCTTTAGAACCCAAAAGGCCTACCACATTTTAGTCGTGCTTTAGGTTCAGTAGCTCTCATGCTAGTAGATGGTCCTGTTGGGACATCAATTCGGATATGCACATTCTCTGTAGGGATATGTGACTTAGTTATCATTTTCAAATCAGTAAATACGTCTGGCATTTGATTTGCTATATTCTGTAAATGGATGATCTTTCGGACCTCCTAATTACATTTAAGGGTACGTGGATCAAAGTGAGATAATGATGAAACTTTTCACACAATTTTTCTTTTTATTTCTTTTTTCTCTCCCCCTAATTGTGGAAAATTTATTTCATCAAATCGACAATCTGCAAATCGAGCAGTAAATAAATCTCCCGTCAATGGTTCAAGATAGCGAATAATAGAGGGTGATTCAAACCCAATATATATTCCTAACCTTCTTTGGGGACCCATCTTACTACGTTGTGGTGATGCTACTGGCACATCTACAGCACATCCAAAAATTCATAGATGGGCAATATTTCGTTCATGACAAAAAACTAATTGTGATGGAGAATATTTATTATGATGTGTCGGTCTGAGACGAATAAGTGATGCTGCATGCAAGATAGAATGACCCCAAATAGTAGTGAGCAATTTTATTTTCATAAGTAATGGTCTTGCTATCAATTGCAAGCATTTAATAAATGATTCTTCAAGGCCATTTCGAGTACGAACATAGGCTACACGGTGTTCAACTTTTATCCCAACTAATACATAGTAATCATCAAAAGTTTGAGATGAGAATTCTCCAGCAAGACTTACAAAATTTAGAAAAATATATCTCATAAAATCATGTTTTAAATGGCAGGACAATGTACTACAAAATTCAGAAAAAGTTCCAAATTTGCGCGGCATGGGCAAAGAGAAAGTGGTCTTTCTAATAACTACACTTCTTTTACCTTCTCAATTTACAACTCTTAATTTTTTGTGTCATTAGTAATTTTAATTTTTTAGGAAATTTATTAACACTCCTTGAACTTTCTTAATAGATAAAACTTAAATAAGCTTCATTAATATACATTTAATTAACTGTACATTACATAAAAGTGTAATGCAGACAAATAAACCAAATTTACGAGTTATTCCACAAATATATTTTAATTTACAAGTATTTTTTTCCTCATATAAAAGAGGGATAATAATGAATTCGTTATTGCTTTCTGATTTTTCTATAGACTATTGAAGCTTTATAAAATCGCGCGAAGCGCGATTAAATTCACTAGTTCATCATAAAATCGCAGTAGAGTTAAGAGCTCGCTCCAGTACTCAAATCAATACTGTTCATAAAAGCTAGTAAAAGAACTTTTAATTACTAGTAAAACGTATTGTGAAAGTAAACAAGAAAATCTCTTAAATTGTAAGAAAATGTATGGATAATTAGCTAATAATGTGACATACGACAAATACGAAAAAATAGGAGTTTCCACTTTGTTCCATGACAAAGACTTCTTTCTCCTTATTTCTTCATGTGATATGTTATTTGCTCACTTTTTTTTTTCTTTTTCTTTTTATTTCTTTGGTCTATCTACCTTAATAAGGTAAAGGTTATGTATGCGTAAACATTATCCTCCATATACCTCATTTATGAGATTCTAATGGATTTGTTGTTGTTGTTGTTTACTTATTTGGTTCGTCTTTTCATGCGCTCAATTTCCACCTTGCTATACCTCCTTATATCACGTGAGCTCTCCATTCTTTTTAGTTAGATTTTAATTTTCTCCTATATTTTTTAGAGATACATTTCTTTCTTGTTCTCATCCATGTATACACATTGATTACTTAATACAGTCGTCTATTTTTTATATTTTCGATGATATCTAATTTTTTATATCATCGATGATAATCCTTCATCGTTTTGACATGGTAAGATTACAACTAACATAAAGAATGGTGTGGTGCATATGAGGTCATGCCAAAAGGAGTGTGAAATTGCTCAATTGTATTGAGATGATTAAAATGGAATCGTTATGACCTTTACTATGTGGATTTATGACCTTTTCATATTTAGGGTATTCAACTAAGTCAACCCAAATTTAATGTGGCTCGTTCACCAATAGATAAGTTGAGGAGACATATGCTCTTTTTGTAGAGACTTACGAAAAAATCACATTGCTAGCAATCCACTGAGTACGACAACTTAGGGAATATCAAACTAAGATAAAATAACAAGCAATATAAATTATATTCAAAATCAAATAATACATATGTGTCACATATATATGCTAAATATTGGTGACTTTAAACTAACTAAACTAAATTTATTTGTGAAAAAAATATATCACCGTAATAAGATAATAAAATTCTGATGAAAAATATACTCGATGTGAAACATATACTCAAATGACAAGTTAAAGCACATTTAAATTTATCTCGTATAAAATACCATTTTTACTATATAAATTTTACCAAATAAAATTGTATAAAAATTTATTATTACTATTTTACTATATATATATATTACCAAATAAAGATCCAAATGCAAGTAACGGAGAGAAGATCCCCAAGCAAAGTACAGGGGCAAAATTGTGAATTTGCGGGGATATTAGGGTGGGGTAGTGAAATTTGGAAACTATTCTGGGCGAGGCGGAGAGATACGGCGAAATATTTGGGGCTTGAGCTATTCTTTTATAAATAAATACCAACTCAAACCCCACAAAAGAGAACACAACAATCAACAAGCATTCCACCTCCTTATGGATCTCCTTCGGACTAATATCAGAAATCACTACAGAACAGAACGGTGACAGCGAATCTTGGTGATAATTTAGGGATTCAGAATCGTTTTTTTTCACGTCTCACTGTATGAACTTTCGGATTTAATTCATTCAAATGAGTATTGAACCCTTTAATCGGTAAAGTTCTTGATGAATTTATCACTTCATATATGTTGAATTCGCCAATTATTCTTCTCTTCTCTGTTTGTTCAATTATTTTCTTGTTGGATAGATTGGTCAAACTTGCGGCTAGAGCTTTCTACGATGACATTACGACTAAAGGCGACAATCAGCCCAAATCCGGCAGAAGTGACAATCGAGGAATTGCGGTGGTCATTCTAGACGCACTCACAAGGTTCTCAACTTTTACTGTCTCATTAAATATTGTAGCTATTTTGACTCTCCGAGGAAGATAAATAAATTACTCCATTTTGAAGCTGAACTATAGTCAGTCTACCCGTCAATACTTTTCCTTTCATCTATAGTCTGTTTTTGGTTTAGAAAAAAGTTAATATTATGGAACTACAAGAATTCCATGTTTAGCGTCTTCAAACTCGCCCAGACTCCCCCAAACTACACTGTATGGAGCAGTATATGTGTGTATTAAAATCATATCTTTCAGGCGGCAATGGGTGAGGGAAGAAGACTTGGCAAAGGATTTGAAGTTGCACACAAAGCAACTCCGGCGCACCTTGCGTTTCTTTGAAGAAGAAAAGCTCATCACGCGAGATCATAGGAAAGAGGTTGGTTTTATGCTCTATTGCTACAAAGATGATCTTTTTGGTGGACTTGAATTATCCCTTCTTGTTAACTTTACTCTATCTTCTTGCATTAGTTTCAGACCGAGTGTTTCTGACTTTAGATATCTGAAGCAGCACTGTTTGTTTCCTTAACTTAGCAATTGAATCCCTTTTACATAAATTCCTCTTAAGTAAATAGTAAGATGTGAGAAATTTGTTGTTTTGAGCATGCTAAGTTGTGTCTCTTTACCCCATTTTGAGTATTGATTTGTGATGTAATTTATTTAAACGACATCTTATCTAAAGAATATGAAATTGTTACATTGTGTTCCTTTGCCTACCTACCAACACAAATAAATGATAAGGAAGCCAAGTGTGAAGTTCGGTCTTACGAAGCTCATCAATGTTTAATCTAGGCCAAAACGAATCCTAGTTTGTTATTGCCTTAATCATTAATATGTTCTCTTACACGGAATACTCCTCCTAGTTGATTTTGTGGCAAATTCTATTTGTTCTTCACTGCCTTGGGAAGAAACTAAGACCTTTCAGACAAATGCACTGCGACAACTAGGAAGAAGAGTTTTTCTATTAACAATACAATAAAGTACCATTTTGACTTTTATGAGCTCATTTTTAAGCTTAGCCCTCATTAACTTAATTGCTAATGCCACAAACTAAAGGCGTTCTAATGAAATGTTTACATTCTAAAAAAAAAGGTGTTTGCATATCCCCCTCCTTTTCCAAAAGCCGTGATAGGTGACAAGGGGGCTTTTGATTGCATATGTTGTCTGTGATGTCGAGGGGTGATTTGCCCGCATTTTTATCCCCCCTAACCTAGTTGTTAATGTGCAACCAACTCCCTCCTCTTCCAAAAGGTGATGGGTGAAAATGGGGTGATTCAATAATATATTCGTCTGTTATTATCACATACTACTAACTTTTTCCAGATTTTGCCTACAATTATTGTGCAAAATAATCTGCCATTCATTCTCTGTCAATCTATTGTTGCAGGGAGCAAAAGGTGCAAAAGTATACAATGCTGCAGTTGCAGCTACAGTTGATGTCCTGCAGAATGGGAAAGAAGGAGATGACAAAATAAAGATGCATACTCATTCTTATTGCTGCCTGGACTATTCTCAGGTTCCCACCCCAAACCCCTGGTTGCTTAGTTAAATTTACCAAATTTGTAATTATTGAAGAATTCTGGTAGTTCTAGTCATAGCATTCCCAGACTGACTAATCGACGAACAGCCAAAAGATAGTAGTAAACGTTTTATCTAATTTTAGGTGGTTGAATTCAACTAAGAGAGATTTAAGTAATCTAAAGTAACACCAGTTTTGGTTATTATGGTACTAGCACAAGCATGATTGTTGACCAGGGATAACTTCTCATGCATCTTGGATATCTTTGATGTTTAACTATATTGCTACTTCCATCAAAGTGAAAGATTTTGGGGGCATTTAAAATTCTGCAGATATTTGATGTCGTGAGGTACAGACTACACCGAATGAAGAAAAAGTTAAGAGATGAGCTGGATAACAAAAACACAGTGCAGGAGTATATATGTCCCAATTGTGGGAAAAGGTTCTGCCTTCAATACTGCTGAGTTTTAGCTTTTTGATAGGTATACCTCTCATGACAAAATTCAGGATTTCCTTAAATATGCGAATTCAGATATACCGCGTTGGATGCATTGCGGTTGGTGTCTCCTGAGGATGAGTACTTCCACTGCGAAAGTTGCAACGGGGAACTAGTGGCAGAGAGCGACAAGTTATCCTCTCAAGGGACTGTAGATGGGGATGATAAGGATAGGAGACGGCGTCGTGAAAAATTGGAAGACATGCTTCATAGGATGGAGGTTTGTCTTTTTTCTATGCTGTGTTTAGATGTTATGTTGATATATAAAGTGCTGTCCACAATTTATTTTGTTTTTAATTCTAGGGAAACATTTGGTTATGTAATATTGGTCGATCTTGGGTGGAAGGTATTTGTGAATATGTTAAATGAAGCAAGAGCAAGAGTGCAGCTACAGTGAACTCCATAAGGGTTTATTGCTCCAGGTCTCTAGGTAGATACGCGCACACATACATGGGAAGAAGTGAATCAACTGTTTTAGCATGTACTAATCTATACACCTTTGCCATCCACCAAAATCTACACCTGTTGGGTACTTACTATGTCAGTAGATGCACTGCTATGATTCTGAACTTCTTTTGAATAAAGCTTTGTGTTTGATGTTTTCCACGTCAAAAATTGATTTTGCTGTACAGATATGATATACTCCCGGTGTTCATTTTATACGACACTCTTTTCCTTTTTAATCTCTTGTTAAAAGAAAGACATCATTCTATATTTGGAATCTCTTTAACTTTAAACTTCCATTTTTTTTAAACTTTAAACTTCCATTTTAGCCTTAATGACATGCTCTTATAGCCATGGAAATGTAATAACATGTCAAAGTTACCAGTTCTAAGGGTACTTTTAGTATGTGCCAAAAGTATTTCCTTTCATGAAGTCTTGGTTCACTTATAAGGTTCCTATTTGTTTAGAAGATTGGGTGCAATTTGTAGAGAACCATATTCTTGTGTAGGGATTTGTATATACCAGCTCTGGTGTTGCACAGTTGAATAGTAAAAAGGCTCGTTGGATTGACATCCCGTCGGGCATTTTGGTTTCAATGGAAAATAAAGGGTTCATTAACTATGGGTATTTGACTAGCACATCTTATTCCCGCAATCATCATTATTAATTTTTTGGAAACAACCTCTCTACCTTCACTGGGTAAGTGTAAGGTCTGCATACACACTACCTTCCCCAGACCCCACATGTGGGAATATACTGTGTATGTTGTTGTTGTTATCATTATTGGTTTTGCTTGTTAAGTCAGACAGAAAGAGTTGTATATGGGAGAGATGACAGTCTCATGAAAATGGAATGCCAATAAGGAAAATCTTTTTAAAGAGGAAAAGTGATGAACTTTGGAGTATTTCTTTAAAAGCTTGATGAAAGATCTGCTGAACCCAATAGGCAACAAGAGAATAAAAAGATTTCCAGTTAGTGTCTGTTTAATTAACTTGATGCACTCACAAGCATTTGCGCAGCCGCCGTAGTGCGCTTTGAGACTACTAGCTAGCTATCTAGCCCCCGATAGCAAAGAGAACTAGAGAGCCAACAATAACTTAATTTGGCATTTTTCTTCAATGGATTAGTTCCTTTTTTATAAGCAGTGATTTCTTAAATGGATTAGTGGACTGCTGCATAAATTTTTGGCATGGTTGTGTAAGGATGCTCATAAGACACTTCTACAAAATATTCTGGTTTCATTTTGGTTGAGATGGACTAGCCTCTCTCTCTCTCTCTCTCTCTCTCTCTCTCTCTCTCTGCCAAACTGAATGCTTCTCTATATATATTTTGGTTTCAATATAACATGATATTTCTGGTAGCTTTAAATTATAACTTGTGGCCAAATTTTTTAAGGAGACATTGGATCTTGTTATCCAGTTTGATTATTTGGCTTCGTACATCTTTGTATCTCATAAAGAAGATTCGCAACTACTCAATCCCCAAAATTGGGACAATCCTAACTGCATCCATTTTAATGTTACTGCCCTTGGTTAGTTTATTTTGCTAATAATGAGCTAGAGGGGGTCGTTGTCTTGATTTCTATAGCCGTTGATGAACTCTTAAGAGCTGCTTCATCCATTCTTTTTTCTCTTATTGTAATGTAATCCCCGGATATCTAAGATAGTTGATTTGTTTTTACTATCTCTTTCCTGTGCATCTCGTTTAGTTTGCTGAGAACTAAATTTTTTTTTTTGGACCAAGTACTGATAACTAAAAGAATTGTAGGCACAACTCAAACCGTTGATGGATCAACTTAACAGAGTAAAAGATTTACCTGCTCCCGAGTTTGGAAGCCTTCAAGCGTGGGAAGTGCGAGCCAATGCTGTGGCCCGAGGTGCAAATGGAGATAATGCAAATGACCCTTCAAAGTCAGGACAAGGATTTGGTGGAACACCTATGCCTTTTGTTGGAGAGACAAAGGTTCTTTTACCCAACTGGAAAAGGAAAAAAGAAATACTGTTGTTACAGGGTTTTACTTGGAAGCTCATCATTATGTGTTTCTAGTTGCTTCTGGGAAATGCACTGCAGTGAATTTGGTGTATATTCTTGCTCATGCATCATAGTTATGACTCCTGCACCCCTACATGAATTTTTCCAAAAATCGACCCAAATATGAATTGGATTTTCATGCACTAGTCCATACAGTGAGGTTACACTATTAAGCTTTTGCTCCGTGTTACTCTTCTTATAAAATCTTGAGGACAGCGTTTTTAACCCTCCTATTTAGTGTAACATTGGAAGTTTTCTCCATTTTGCGCGTAGCAACGTTTGGTTATTTACTATACTGTGTACAAACTTCTGTTTCCTTTCTCACTAATCACTTGACTCTATTTTTATACTTTAGCAACTATTCTGAATGCTTCCATAAAATATCTCTGTCTTTCCTTGTGAACTTGATGGAGAAAATATTGCCCGAGTTACGTAGAATGTAGGGGTTGTAGATTGGTTGAGTTCTAAAACTATGTTGTCTATGAATTTATACCACTTTTTGCTGTTTACTGCTGGTTGAGTTGCTTTCTCTGGTCTTGAGTGAAATAGGCTCTTAAACGATGATGACTACAAATTTATACCACTTTTTTCTGTTGATTGCAGGTTGAAGTTGCTTTCTCTGGTCTTGAAGAAAAAGGAGATATCAAATCTGAGATTTCAGCTACACCAATGAAAGTTTTGCCTCCATGGATGATAAAGGAGGGAATGAATCTTACAAAGGAGCAGCGTGGAGAGGTCAAGCAAGAGTCCAATATGGAGGGTAGTTCTGCTGCAGCGGGGTCATCTGACGACAAGAAGTCCATAGAAACTGAGGACGTGAAAAATATAAAGGTGAGCTCATTGCCTTTTGTATGGTTCCTAACCTCTTTCTGCCCTTCCTCCTTTTCTGCCCCTTCCTTTCTTGCTTGAATTCCTCTATGCTCTTTAATGATGCTTTAATGCCTCACCTTTTTTTTTTGTCTTACTTTTGGTAGGATGAATATGTTAAGGCATATTATGAGGCTCTATTCAAGCGACAGAGAGAGCAAGAAGAAGCTACCAAAAGTTTACAGGAACCATCAACTACAGATGGAGTGGATAACACCTCTACTGAGCGCCACGTCGGCATGAAATCTAAACGTGAAGAGGAGGATGAAGGAGAGGATATTGAATGGGAGGAGGCCCCACCTGCAGGTAAATTTTATAGTGTTCGTATACTTCAGTCTCTTTTCAAAGACGTTGAAAATGGAGAAGCAAGTGAGAAGTTTGTTATTCAAGTGAGTAGCAGTAGCTTGCTCCATCATGTGTTCAGCTCCTTACCTTATACGTTGATTGTGATCCATTATTTTGAGTCTAAAATGGAGAGACCTAAATGATACAAGTCTGCAATTTTATATTGTTCATATACCTCAATCTTTTCAGTAGTTAATGATACAAGGACTGTTCAAAGATGTTGAAAATGGAGGAGCAGATGATTGAAGTTTGTTATTAAAGTTATTAGCATGCTACATCATGAATTCACTCCTTAACTTATATGTTGATTGTGCAAATCCATTTTTTGAGTCTTAAATGGAGAGACCATAAATGAAAGAAATGAATAAAAATGATATACTTTGTAGCTATGATTAGTCTAGCTTTCTCAAGTGTTTTTATACGTAATGACATGTGTAGCGAATGTGAGTGACACGTGTTATGCACTTCACAGAAAGTAGTCGTAGACTGTCTAGAGTGCCAGTAGATACACTTTGGACAAGAATATGGGAATAATAAGTTCCCTGCGAAGTTTAGTTATGTAGGTGGAACTTCAAGACAAATTACAGGGATATTCTTGTACTATCCCTTTTCTTAACTTCCTCATGATCCGTATCAAACCTAGCTAGTAAAGCAGTCTGCCTTAAGATATAGTTTCCAGACTCCCCCGTAATTGACCCCAAAGCTCGGGTGTACCGGGGATGCGGCTCGGGTATAGTAGGTCTGGATTAAATTCAGAGCTACCTGCCATCCCACAACAAATAATAGCATAAATGTGACATTGCAACTAGACAATATTCGACCAACTTCTGCATCCTTGCTTGATCCTTATCAAACTTAGCTAGTGAACAGTCTGCCTTAAGATATCTCCGACCAAATAAAAGCATAAATGTGACGTTGCAACTGGACAAATTCACCAACTTCTGTGTCCTTGCTTGGGTCAGTTCCTCCTGGGTCAAATTATTGACAACTTATCCTTGGGATACCTTTCTGAGTCACACTTTTTTTTTTATGGATCTAACGCCTTGGGAGGTTAAAGAAAACTTCTCCAATTGGACTCTTTTTTCTCATTGTTTTCCTCAAGTTAATACAAAATATCTACTGCGTCAGTATGTGTAAATTTATTTCTTTTCTTTTTTTAATTTTAAACTGAGTAAACTCAAATGGAGTATTTGTCATATTCTCTATCACAGCTGTAGGTTGTTCTATGTTGACGTTTTCTCTTCTTTATGTCAACTTTGTAATATTGATTTTCATATGTCTAATCTCATTTTTCAGTAGGATTTCCCTCTGCGGATTGTATTTATTTGTCCGGATGACGGCTGAAAGGAATACCTGTAGTAAAAAGGATGAACAGATAACGGATAACAGATAAGCCTTTGGTGAAAGATTTAAAGAAGAAGAGCAGTAAATAAGTTATTGTAGAGACTAGGAGTTGATCTGCAATTGCTTGCAGTGTTACAATAATAATAGCATAAATTAGGATAGATTTTTTTTCACAACCTAATAATAAGAAGATTGACTCGTGATGATATTCCTTCCTGGTCAGTGGTTCTACATTCCATACTGGCCATAGTTTTATTGCACTCTTTTTGTGCTCTTTCATATCGGTGGCTCCTTCAACTTACATGCAAAGTCAACATGCTGTTACGAAAGAATTACTGTCTTTCATTTCTATATTCAAAGAGCGGGTTTACTATGTATAATGTAATACACGACAACCTTGTATGAGAATTATCTAACTTCTTATAGCTGGGATGACGTGTTATTTTGTTCTGTCTGCTTGAATAGAGTTTTAAATCTGCTGATTGTTGCTAAATTTTGTCTTCTTCCAATTCTTTAGATTCTTCTTCCTCCCCCCCCTCTTCCCCAGAGAGAGGGGAAGATGACATAGATATGTTTCAGGTGATAATACAACTGGAAATTTCAAGGTTGACTTGAATGTGCTAGCAGATGCTTCAGGAGATGACAACGATGAGGAAGATGACATAGACTGGGAGGAAGGTTGATGATCAAAGTAATCCTTAAGCCATGGATTACTTCAGGAGTCTAGCCATGATGTTACCCATGCTATGGCTGGAGAAGAAAAGGGGCAAAGCGGACGGTGCAACTGTGACAGAATGATTAAGCTATGTGAGTGCGACAAAATTAGAGAAGAAAACTATTTAAGGCAAAATGGTTGAAGCCGGCATATGGGTTTCGTCAATGGATGCTCTATCTGGTTTCATCTTTCTCGAGTTATTATTCTTCATGAAAGCAATTTTAGGTGTCGTTTTGTTGGTTACATAAACTTGCAGCAAGTGGGTGTGGGTCTTTTTGTCGAAATGGAATGGCAATTGCTTTGGATGACGGAAATAAAAGATTGTTGAAGGATCAATGTAATACTAACTTTAGGTACACGATCTTCTCGTGAACACTGTATTTTATATCTACCTTGTTTCCATTTTCCTCGGCAATGGTTTTAGGGGTAGCGGATTTGTTCGCTGTATCATACATCAAAGTTAACTATTGGGAGCCAGAGAAATTATAGTAAGAAAACAGTACGCGGACAGATCTGTTGTGAAGTTTTTCATGTTCTCGAGTTGGGGCTGGAAGCTTAGCTTACAATAGCAGACACACATTGCTGAATGCTGATAACGTAAAGTATAAGTTTGGATTAAAGCTTTTTGTCAAGACTTATGAACTAGTTAAGATGTGACAATAGATTTACACTACCTAGATCCTTCCTGCACGAGTTCGTGCGTCCTAAGCTGTGAACAAATCATGAACTGGATCCTTAATATCCTTAAAGACGGAACCTAGCAAGTTTTGCTTCTAAAGTTTTGTTATGGTTGAGATTTAAGAAGAGGATTTTTTCATAAACCACTATAGTTTAGAGCCTAATAACAATAATTTGCGTAATTACCATTCGTAGCTAACCTGTATCACTTGTATTCGAATGCGCAACGAATACAACCTATGTCAATTGTATTCGTTCTATTCATTCGTGCAACGAATAAAATATGTATCAACAGTAACCAAGGTGAAATACAAGGGTGTATACAAAGTATACAACTTGTATCAACTGTATACATGTGTATATACAAAGGATACAACTTGTATCGATTGTATTTGTTCACGCAACAAATATAACTTAGGCGAAATACAGAAATGCAGAAAAATAAACGCTCTTGTTGAGATTTGAACTAAAGACCTTCTCTAGCTAAGCAAGCTCTCTAACCAACATTTCAGTTCAAAATAATTAATCTCTTATTTTATGGATTTGCTATAAAATTTAAATATAGCTACGATTGATAAATTTGGTGAAAGTATAGCTACGAATGGTAAATATAATGTAAATGTTTGATGTGTCGCGTAATTTTCTCATTTTAACAAACAAAGCATTTCTGGAGGGTGCGTCACGATTGACAACCGAAATGTCGTTATTAATATCTATATCTCGTGTGCTTTTGCGTATCAATTGTAATCGTGCTTAACTGCTTAAGTTTCTCTGATTGGATTAACAAAATGGTGTTACTCTATTTGTTTTTCTTCCAAAAAGAGAATAATACATAGTGCTTAATAACAGGATCATGTTCCAGCAAGAAGCTAGCTGTATAAGCTAGGGAGATTAAGCCAGCTGGAAAACAAGATAGGCCTTGCTTGTCTTTTTTTTTTTTTTTTGGTAATAA